AAAGTCCGCTCGTAGGATTTCGGCGGAGAGCGCTCGCTCCCAGGATCTCGGGCAGCCCCAAGGCCATGGACTGGTATCGCTGGGCGTGCGCGCGCTGGCGTGACCAGGTCGCGCACGCGCCGGCGGCGGCGCCGCAGACGACGCCGACGAAGCGGCCGCGCGCGGCGGGCGAGTCGCCGTTCAAGGCCACGTCGCCGCTCGCGACGCTGCCCGCGGCCGCGCAGGAGAAGCTGCTCGCCGAGTTCGAGGACAGCAGCTCGGACGAGGAGGACGACGAGGTCGAGGAGGACGAGACCGAGGAACAGGGTGCCGAGGAGGGCCCAGCAGAGGAGCCCGAGGCCGACGGCGCGCTCTTCACGTGCCCGAACACGACGAACATCCCACCGTCCGACTACACGCTGGACCCCTTGCCGGCGGCGCCGGAGCCTAAGACCGAAGGCCGCCGCAGCCGCACGGACTGGCTCGCGGCACCGGTCATCGCGATCCTGAAGGCCACCTCACTCGAGGATCCCGAGGTGAAAAAGGTGCTCGATGACCACTTCATGGTTGATGGCATGGGCTGGACTCCACTCAAACATGGTGTGCTCGTGGAAGAACATGAGACCTGGAAGTCATATACCGAAGTGAAGTGCAAGGCCTGTAAGTATACACCATACTGCCCAGCCAAGGCTCGAATTTACTGGTTCAACGATGGACTCCACTGCGAGATTAAGACCGGACAGCACCATGTCCATCCGGAAATCGAAGTCATCATGGAGACAACACGAGGCCTTCCTCCGCCGATCAAACAGGCCCTGGGACCTCTCATCGAAGCGCCAAAGTGGTCTATGGTCAAGGCAATTGCACTTCCCAACCCCTTGGTGTTCTGGGTGCCATGGACCAACACGGAGATGAGATCAAGAAGGTTATCAAGCGGTACATGCTGTGGGCTAGATCGAAGCGATGGAAGGATTTTTGGAAGGGCAGTTATGGTCAGCTCGAAGCGCAATTGAGTGTCAGGGCTGTGGATACCGTCCGTCTCAGAAAGATGGTGGAAGATGGGCAATGGGATGTTCCAATCGTATTCGATCGCAATGTAAGTGGCCCAGAGCTGAAGAACTTTTTCGTTACGAGCACCATACGGATGCTGAGCAAGGCCATGATGCAAGATCTTCTCTGTGGACCTTCTTGGGCCAGTGTCGATGGCACTGGCAGACTCAATTACCAAGGCAAAATGCTTGTCTTTGTTGGCACAATAGACGGACAACAACACACACACCTCATCTCTTCATTCCTGCTATCGAAGGGCGAGTCGCTTGAGGAGGTTAGCCGCGGGCTCAAAGCTACAGCCTGGGCAATGAAGGAGATACATCGTGCCATGCTACGCCACCCTAAGCCGCTTTACATGGCAAGTCTCCTCGGAGCGGACTGGTCTTGGCGCCCAGTGACGACAATGAATGACTCTTCGAATGCCCTCTTCGGAGCCTGGGAAGACCTTAGAAACTACCGCGCTTAGAAAGTAAAAAAAATTAAGGCCCGCCCCACGCCGTCCGCGCCGTCCGCGCCGTCCGCGCCGTCCGCGCCGTCCGCGCCGTCCGCGCCGTCCGCGCCGTCCGCGCCGCTTCGCGGTACTGAAGCTTGAACCCGGAACCTGTGTTCAGCATGTTTGCAGAGGGTTTGAGGCGAAAAATCGCTGCGTTGGACGCGGGCGCGGCGCTCGAGCCGGCTATCAACCGTCGGCCTAGAACATGTTCTACAGGTTGTTCTACATCATGGTTGTCTGCGAGTAGTTCCCGCGCTTCCTGTTGCTCCACCCCCCGCAGGGGTACTTCGTGTTCTGCTCCATCATGGGCAGCGACCTCTGCGGGACGCGGGTCGACCACAAATCGTGTCGAACGTTCGACAACGAATCGTTCGAGACGAGTCGGGGTCGACCCGCGTCTCCGTCATCGCCGCCGCTCTCCCATGCTGCCCCAATGCAGCCCGCGTCGCGCGCGAGCTGCGGCAGCAACGAGCGCCGCACGCGGCGCTCCGCGCAGGGGCGGAGATCGACTGGCAGCCCATGCCCGCGCGACTAGCGCGGCGCGCTCGCCGCAAACGTCGCCGCAGTGTGCGTCCTGCTGCCCCAATGCAGCCCGCGTCGCGCGCGAGC